TAAAATCTTGCTTGCATGTGAAATCAGTGAAATTGTTCTGTAGTTTCCACATTCGAAAGAGTGCCCACTTTGGAGTCAGATGGCTTGACTCTAAAGCCTTGTTCCCCTACTTACTTGCTGTTTGATCTTAGACAGATTACTTAATATCTCTGAACTTTGTTTTCTCCAATTAAAAATTGAAATTATAATACCACATAGGGTGAATGTAAAGATTGAATAAGATAACAAATGTATTATCTAGAGTTAATACAGCTACATGATCTATAAAACCCAAACTCAAGACCCACTGCTGTGGAGTCATTTCCACTTTAGCCCACCATCTGTTGGGTTTCTGAGCTGTAAACTCTTACAGGAGGAGATTACCTATTTTCCTGAAGAACTATTCGTGGATTTTAGCCTCTCTCCTCTGAGTTACCAACCCATAACTGATGCCCTGCCCTGCCAGGGCTCCTTACTTGATATAGATCTTGTAATGTGCCATCGAGTCAACTACAACTCATGGCGACTCTATGAACAATGGCTCTGAATCTTGCCCTACCCTGAGCCAACCTCACTGTCTTCTGACCCACATGACCCCATTACAGCAGTCATTGGGTCAGTCTGTATCATCTAGGGTCTTCCTCTTCTGCACTGACCTTCTACCCTTCCAAGCATGATACCTTTCTCCAAGAACTGGCCCTTCCTGACAACATACCCAAAGTAAGTGACACAGAGTTTCGCTACCCTTGCCTCCAAGGAACAACCTGGTTTCACCCTCTCCAGGACAGACTATTTGTTCTCTTGGCAGTTATGTTCAATACTCTTTAGCATCACAACTCAAAGGCATTGATGATTCTTCTGTCTTCTTTAGGCATCATCCAGCTCTCAGATGCATAACAAGCAATTACCATGGCTTGGTTCAGGTGTGCCTTAGTCTTTAAACGGACATCATTGCTCTTTAGCACTCGGAAACACTCTTGATAGCTTATTTTTCCAGTACACCGTGTCTTTTGATTTCCTGCCTGCTGGTGCCAAGGGTGTTGATTGTGGATCTGAGCAAGATGAAATTGTTAGCAACCTTAATCTTTTCTCCATCTATCATGATGCTGCACATTGGCCCATCATGTTAGTGAAGATTTTTGTTTATTTGATGTTGAGATGCAATCCCTATTAAAGTCTGCACTCCTTGATCTTCTGCAGCAAATACTTCAATTCCTCCTTAAGTTTCAGCAAAGTTGTATAACCTTCTGTATGACATAGGTTGTTGATGAGTCTTCTCCAAATCCTGATGCCACATTCGTCTTCATTAAGCCCAGGCTCTTGAATGATCTGTTCAGCATATAGATTGAAAGGGTATGGAGAAAGGATCCATCCCTGATACGCTCCTTTCGTGATTTTTGACCATGCGGTGTTCCTTTGCTCTGTTTGGACAACAGCTTCTTGGACTAGGTACAGTTTTCACATGAGCACAATAAAGTGTTCTGGGACTCCCATTTTTCTCAATGTTAGTCATAGTTTGTTGTAATCTACACAGTCAAATGCCTTTACATCGTCAGCAAAACACAAATAGACATCATTCTGGTACTTTCTGCTTGTGGCCAAGATCTATCTGATATCAGCAGTGATATGACCCATGACCTCTTGTAAAACCAGCTTGTATTTCTGGCCGTTCTCTTTTGATGTACTGTTCTAGTCATTCATATATAATATTCAGCAAGATTTGCTTGCATGTGGTATTATTGATACTGTTCAGTAATCTCCACACTCCGGTGGATCCCCATTGGGAATAGGAATAAACATAGACCTCTTCCAAGTAGTTGCCCAGGTAGCTGTCCTCTAGATTTCTTGGCACAACCTGTGAGCACATCCAAGACTGCATCTGTTTGTTGAAATATGTCAATTGGTGTTGCACCAATTCCAGGAACCCTTCTTGTTTTCCAGTTCCTTCCGAGCAGCTTGAACATCTTTATTACCACTGGTTCTTGATCCTATGCTATTTCTTGAAATGATTCTGTGTCCGCCAATTCTTTTTGGTACAGTGACTCTGTACATTGCTTCTATCTTTTGATGCTTTTGAGATCGTTCAAGATTTTGCCCATAGCATCTTTAAATGTTGCAACTTGAGGCTTGAATTTGTTCTTCCATTTTTCCAGGTTGAGAAATGCCAAGCAAATGCTTCCGTTTTGATTTCCTGACTCCTGCTCTATGATAATATACTCTGCTTTGACTTCATGAGCTGTCCTTTGACATCTCTCGTTCATCTTCTATTGTCATCATTTCTTGCCTTTGTCATTATGGATCACTGCAGTCGTTATAAATCATTCACGTGGTCTTTGCTACCCAGTTGTTGCAACTCACTCTCCAGTCAGGTGTATGAGGCTAAAGATCCTAAAAGAGGAAACTGTCTACCTCTCTCCTGCAGAGTCATTGGTAGATTTGAACCACTGGAGGCAAAACCTCATGGGTAGCATGAAAACATGCAACAGACCACACTACCAGAGCTCCTTCATTATAAATAGTAATAATGTTACTACTTAATAAGAACTCATCAGCCTTTCAGACCAATTCTTAATATCACTGATGACTCATCATTTCATTTTATTTTAATTCATTTTTCACCTTGACAGATGTAAATAGGATAGTTCATATTTCTGCTTCAGTAGAGCAAACATGACTTTTATTGGTAGGAAAAAACCACTCATTTCAATGAGTTAGTGCTTTTGTGGGATAGTCTGACCCTTGAGGTGTTCTTTAAGTGCCAATCTTTAACCTCTCTAATCTGGAATTCTCCAGCACACTTTGGCCTAAAAACCCCACACCCATCGCCATCCAGTCAAGCCCCACTCATCGCAGCTCTCCGTCAGGCTTCTGAGGCCAGAAGGGAGGAGAAGACTGCCTCATCCTTCTCCTGGAGAACAGCTGGTGGATCCAACCTGCCGTGCGTGCGCGCGCGTGTGTGTGTGTGTGTGTGTGTGTGTGTGTGTGTGTCCCTAGCCTGCTTTCTAGCATTTAGAGAGTTCTGCTGCACAGTCCTTAATGTGTCAAGCTGCTAACTAAAAACATATACATCTCTATCTGAATCCACGAGTGTTTCTGAGGGTTAAAGATGGAGACACTCCCCATTGTGATTTATGGCCTTCAAAATCCGATGGAGGACCAGCTGTGATTCAGATCTGACCTGATGACAGCGAGTTTGTTTCTCTCTCTCTCTGTGTGTGTGTGTGTGTGTGTGTGTGTGTGTGTGTGTGTGTTTCCAGTTCTCTGGCATTTGAATGAGTTTATTTCTTGGTTTATCTTTCTTTTTTCTTTTTTTGTGTTAAGTTCCTCACATCTTCAGTGGCAGTAATAACCTGAATATGCAAAGTGATATGTGTCTGATACCTTGAGTTAAAATGATAACAACTTTACTAGTATAACTTAGGTAGCCTCTCTCTTTTCTGTGAATCTTCTGATATAAAATATAAATAAGAATATCATTTCTAATGTGAGGAAAGTTATTAATGTCATTAATAGTACATATAACAATGCAGATGTGGCAAAATATTGTTGTGCCTACTCACCACAATAAAAAAATGAATTCATTAAAAACATACCACTTTCATTCTTTTCTAAGCATATTCAATATTAGAACAGTTTTTCACCATCATTAATGTTACTGTAAAATAGAGAAATTGTGGTGTGTTCACACAGTGGAATACTACACAACAATAAAGGAACAAGAAAGAACTCATGAAACACTACTCAACATGGCCAAGTCTAGTGAAAGAACCTGGTAGAAAAGGACGACGAGTATTGTATAAGACCACTATTCCAAAAATGCAATTATTGCCTCTGGGGGGGGTGTCACAGGAAAAGCAGGAATAGAAGGGGCAGAACCATCCACTGTATTGGAGCTGTAGTTGAAGTTGTCATGCGCCATGAGGTCAGAACAGACTCACAGCTGATACTCCACTGGGTTTTCAGATGCTGTCAGTTACACAGGAGAAGATTGGCCATTTCTCTCCCAAGGAACAGCTGATAGATTAGGTAGAATGGATTAGGGGAAAGGGAAGATCAGCCTGAAACAAACGGATGGACAGACACTATGTGTACTGCAGCTAACAATCTGGAACAGGACGGGCGTAACTGATCTAATGGGGAGGAGGCTTGGAAGGAAGGGGAGGGAAAAAATTAAAGAATAAGGGGAGAAAATATCATAATCAACAAAAACGAATAAATTTCAACAAAAAATGAATGTCAGCATTTCCAATGAGGCTAAACAACCTTTCCAAAGATAAGCCAATTTGATTTGTAAATACTCACGCAAATAAAAATTAAATTTCTAAAAAAATTTTTTAAAAAAAAAAGGGTAAATGAACGCACCAATAGAAATAGTCCCAGAGGGTTTGCAAGAAGTGATGGGAGGAGAGGGTGAGTAAGCAGAGAGAGGGACTGGATGAAGAAGGGAACGGAGGATGCACCAAGGTCCCCACAGGACGCTGTAAAGAACAGCATCAGGCAATGGTACCAACTGTTAAGAAACCAAACAAGTATGCATGGCTGATTAAAAAATCAATCTTTAAAAACTCAAGACATAATTTGGAAATCTCAGTTTTCAGTTGAAACAAGCTTGCTTTCTTCATTCTCGTTAGAAATAAAGATGCTTAAGCAGCTCTACCAATATTAGAAATTCATGATAATAAAATAGCAAACATTTACTCACTCCTTACTATGTTTGAGGCATTTTTTATATCTATTATGCCAACTGCAACCATAGAAGTTAATTCGTTTCCGCAAGATTACAAAACTTAAAGAAGTAACTCAAAATAGATGTTTTATTAACTATCTTAATTATCGTATTCTGTGCCATCTTAACCATTTACGAGCCAGGATCTAAACTCTTCATTAGTATGGTGTGAATAGTCTTAACTTTCATGTTAATTTAAGGTTGTGGATTTTAATCTCAATTTATCATTAGCTAAAAGCAGAAATTTAGTAAAAGAATGCAATGTTAATACTTATATTCAGAAAATTAAACTAATCATGCTTACCTATAAGAATTTTGAATGTTCCTTTTTTATTATTATTATTTTTGTGTGCGTGTATCGTCAAATCAGATCTGACTGGTACAGGAGGAGATTGTCTGTCCCTCCTTCCCCGGCAGAGCATCTGGTAGATTCGAACCGTTCGCCTCTGGGATTGTAGTTGCAGCTCCTGAATGTTCCTTTTGTTTTTCAAGTTATGATTTCTCAGAAACTTAGATCCTTTCTGCTTCTTGTTTTGTTTTTCTTACCTTTTTTTTTATTTGGAATGGACATATTCATTTTGAGAAATTTAAAATTGTACAGTTTACAAGCGTCTATGGTTTAAGTCATGCTGCCAAGACATATCAAAAGAGTTCTTAACTGTAAATTCCTGTCATTTGGTCAATCCAAATGTGCTTGGCCTCAACACAAGCCACTAATTCAAATCAGTTCCATCAGAATCCTACAATTATGTGTTTGAAAGCAAAATAAAAAGTTGGATGCTGTAATCGAAAGTTGAGAGATTGCTTAAGTAATACAAACAATGGATGGAGCAATTGGGCACAGCACAGTGTTACTGGGGAGGAAGCCTCATTACTGCAGTCTGAAGACGACAGCAGCTATTTAATGCTTAGCAGCAGCTCCAAAATCCTGCTAGCCCTTGTTGCTTTTCTATACAAAGTTCTGACCTAACTCCCATGGAGTTAGTCTTAAAATAGGTAATACTTTATATAGGTAAGCATGATTATAGTTTAATTCATTTTCTGAATATAAGTATTAACATTGCATTCTTTTACTAAATTTGTGCTTTTAGCTAATGATAAATTGAGATTAAAATCCACAACCTTAAATTACTTTTAATCTTAAAAGTAATGAATGTATCAAAATAACAATCATATAGTATGAATAGGGTAGTCGTTGTGGGGCTTCTCTTTGCCTGATGATTTTTCTCAGATTCTGGACCTAAATGTTAATCAGTCCTTGGAAAGATGAGTTCATGGTCATGTGAAAGTTGAGTTTTCTGTCAAGCATGTTAATGGTTCACATAACGACTTATCAAAATGAACATAACTCTTTTTTGCCTTGAGATAATTGAAACAGAGATTTCACATTTCATAATCAAAACTCATCGGAGAGTTTTGTTTCGTGGTGATTTTGGTCTTACTTTGCAGTGATTTTGTGTTCCTTCTGTGCTCTCAGCCTTCGTTTTACTGTAGTCAGCGATCCGCCAGAGGATGAACAGGATCTGGAATGCGAGGACATCGGCCTTGCTCACATCGACCTCACTGACATGTTTCGGGAAGGCAGAGACATCATTGAAGAAAACATTGATGGTATGGGAGAATGTTGCTCAACTTGTATAACCAGCAGTTGCTAGAATCCAAACTCTTTATTAAAACCTTCTTTTTGTTGGCTGCAAAGACACTGAGTCACACATGAGTTGAATCTTTTGCAAGATCCAGCTGACTTTTTTTTTTTTAAGCCAAAGCCTCTCTCCACACCCCTCCACCCTTTCTCTCTGCTTCCTTTGAAACAACAGGAGTTTTACAGATTAATCGAACATCCAGTAATGATTTTGTGCAGACAGTGTGAAAAAATTTGACCACTGGATTTGTTAAACGCTATCATGGAAGTCTCATGCTGTTGCGCCTTATTTGGAGTTAAAGCATTTTACCTTTGGCGTACTTATCCAAGTGATTGTAGTGACTTTTCCCAAGGCTCCCTTTTAATCCAGTATGAAAATCCAGTGACATAGACACTGCACATAAATCTTAAGAGTTTCAAACACTTGTTTGTTGTCAGGATTCAAGGAGAAGTAGGAGATTCATGACATAATATATTTTCTTGGGTTTTAACCTCACTGGATATGATTTCCAGCAGAGCTTACATCCGCCTTCATTTTTTTATACATGTAGAACATTATGAAGGAATTGTCCTTTATGAAGTAGGTATTTTTTTTCTTTTTTTTTTTT